TGAGGTCTCGTTCCATTCCTTTCTCTATGAATCAATTTCAGGTGATCTGAAGGGTTACCACAAACCGTAATGTTATGAAGCAACTGAGATGGCAACCGAGTTGATATATTTCGTCCTCGCGTAAATGGTCGAATCTTAAGAGAAACTGATGCTACATGTGTTGATTTGAGTAAAATACTTGAAAGGAGCGCGTGTTTCCTCCAAGGCAGATGGATTATAACGGTAGTGTCAGGCCCGTAGTCAACTTTTGCCAAGGGGGTTCACTTTTTAAAAGATTCCAGGGGGATTCACTTTTGACAATCTTGGTCCACAAATGACGAAAATCACTTAGAAAGTGCTCATAATGGTGAAAAACTGCATGATTTTTAAAGAATTTTTGGCCAGGGGGTTCGCTTGAATCCATTGATGGGCCTGAGTGTTATTGGGTTATTGTTACGTGTCTACGATCATTATGACCTACATTATAGTGTAAATATGCAGGAAATGATGAACAAAGCACAATGAGAACCAGATACATTACATTACATTCAAGCCACTAATACCCTCAACACTAGCAATAATATCAATATCATCGTGGATAATGCATCTTTGACTTCCAAGATGGTTATAACACACCTAAGTTGGAGCAATTGTAACCTTGTGAAACACGAGCAATAATATCAATATCATCGTGGATAATGCATCTTTGAATTCCAAGATGGTTATAACACGCCTAAGTTGGAGCAATTGTAACCTTGTGAAACACGAGCAATAATATCAATATCATCGTGGATAATGCATCTTTGAATTCCAAGATGGTTATAACACGCCTAAGTTGGAGCAATTGTAACCTTGTGAAACACGAGCAATAATATCAATATCATCGTGGATATTGCATCTTTGAATTCCAAGATGGTTATAACACGCCTAAGTTGGAGCAATTGTAACCTTGTGAAACACGAGCAATAATATCAATATCATCGTGGATAATGCATCTTTGAATTCCAAGATGGTTATAACACGCCTAAGTTGGAGCAATTGTAACCTTGTGAAACACGAGCAATAATATCAATATCATCGTGGATAATGCATCTTTGACTTCCAAGATGGTTATAACACACCTAAGTTGGAACAATTGTAACCTTGTGAATGAAGATGTGGATCCATTTTACTATCTTATGTCACTGTAGATATGTAGACATACAATTTCGATGTCACTCTTGAAGCTTCACCAATATAACACTAGCTACCACACGGCAACATTGATGTCAGTTGTGAACACGCAGAGATAAAACGCAAACTATCAAACGCTAAACTGATGCCACTGTTAAGACAGGTCAGATAAAAACTCTAGCTGCGACCACGGGCTTTCAACTAGATTGAAAGTCCATGCTGTGATACATAAATCCTTTTTCGTGTTACATCTACATCTAGATGTAAACTTGTAATAACCTTGTCTTACCTGAAGCAAAGCACGAGGTGAAAATATCAATTTTAAACCCAAAATAAGATGACTTGTGTATCAAAATAATTTAATTCCACAAATGATATTTCCCAGTCAGAATAATAAAACATCGAATCGGTTGTGACTAACACAATTGGAAAACCTGTTAAATCAGCATTCTTCCCCCAAAATATCAGGACCCTGGGACCTCCATTATGGCCCATAATAAACCGACAACAATACCTCCAAGCTTCTTCATACAATTGAGTGTTGACGGAGAATAAGTTGAATTAACACATTTTAATTTACCACAAACTGTTCTAAAGAAACGTATTCCTGAATCGTATGAAAACATCCTTATGTGAGGCATTCTAAAGAAGAATCGAATGTGTTTGCTAAGCAGCAAGAAGTAAACAAAACAACAACAAATCATTCTCATCCGAATTTCAACAAGTTGAATTTAGCCTATGGAACAGTCTCTCATATAAAAACATAAAAAGGCATGTCTAATTTGATTCTTAGTTATTATGAAAATTCATAAAAATTCACGTGCTTCTATAGATTGGACAACGATGCAGGTGTCGCATACCTTTTCGGAGATATAAGTAATGTCTGACTAATTCCCATATAAAACGTCATCTCAAAATGTTATTGTATTCTCAATATTGCTATGAAATAGACTAAACATTGACAGAGATGTTTTGTGGATTTATTCATTATAGTTTCAATTAAACTTTTTATTAGCTGTGTCCAAAACAAGTGCTTTTATTGTAGGTTTGGTTATTTTGATAGCGGTGTCAGATAATGCCCGGTGTGCTTATCATTAGGGGGTCGACATGAAGGAGGGTGGTGTGTAGCAGGTGCCAAATACAACAGGGGTGGTTTGGTTAGGGTTCGGGTCGGGCCTACTTAGTGGTTATCCTTGTTAGTTTGGAGAGCTATGAGAGGGTACCTGTCCATATACTTACTTCCTGCTTGTAAGGGCCTATTGTTTTTCATTCAACATACATTTATGAGATCATTTCCTCCTTGTTACTAAATGCATATCCAGGTAAAATGTTGTAGATACATTGACTCGTCTCAAGCCTTTGATCTTACCTGGGAGACACTTGTTCAGCTCGATACAAGCTCATTAGACCATGCATCGCCATTTTAGCATTAACCATTCAAAGCATTTGCAACTGACTGTATTTATCCCGCCTGGCACTTTTGGCAAAGATGAATAGCAAAGCCCAAATGAAAAGATTTTTAAAAACAGTTCCAAAATCAAGGTTGGACTCCGTGTTCAATTGAATCCTTTTGTTTTTGCAGGGATTCTGCCAACAACCCGTTTATGATGCCAGAATTGAGGTTTGGGCTACAAGAAAACTGGAGTCCTGGTACTCCTGTTAAACAAACGCCGATATTTAAAAGTGAAAGGAGTGTGAAAGAGTGGGATCGGTAATGAATATCAAACAGGCAGTTCATTAGGAGGCCTAACCAGCTTGAATATTTTCTTATGACGTATGAGTATGAGGTACGTGCCTGGGAACATTTAAGAGATGTCCAGACGTTGAGGAAACACCAGAAGAAAACCGGAAGAACCCGGAAATGGATAGTCTGTTGTCCATTTAAACTTGCTCCTTTTAATATCGTGTTCAGTTCAACCATTATGAATTTCTCTTGGCCTGATTTTTTTACATTTTGTTAAACTATCTTTTGTGCGACAACATCTTTCTAATATTCTCACTACGTTCCTTCTTTCCCTTGTATTTTATTCTACCACATGACTGCCATGACGTTTGATCTGCGGGTTGGGAGGGATTTTGTTGACTTTCAAGAGCCTTGTAGTGTTTGGCTCTGTTGTTTAGCTTAGCCCATTGTGCCAATCCTCTTTTAGCATTGTCTTTTAGTGTACTTAGTGGTTGGAAGAATATAAGGGAAGGCGAAATGCATTCTAACATGAATAGGGCTGAGGAACGAGTAAACAACCCCATTGTGGCGGTACAATACTCAAACAATGCCCCAAATATCAATCTGTTAACCCATACCACAATTTACGTCAATCGAGGTAAATGGTTCACGAGGTTGCACATTTCTCAAAATTAATTGTTGGTTACGTAAAACTTGTGGTTCTATGTTTTCTTAGTTGGATTTCTCAGGGTTTTCTGACTATACAAGGCTGTTTTGTAGTTTACAAAGTAAACTGTTGATTTGGCAAAATATTTTAATTGCCTGTCATAATAAACTTTAAACTTGATATTGTTTCTTAATGTACAGCAGCTATAAGTGGCTGATATTGTATTGTGTTAATGCATTCGATAAATTCTAACCATTTTTACTAATGCATTAGGCATATACAATTCAGAATAAGAGTATTTGCACTCAAATTAAAATGTCAATTTGTAAGATTTTCTGAAAGATATCTGGTCTGAAGTATACTGAACTATATGGTATATGTTTCTATTGCGCTCCATCGGGTGATCCTCAGTCTCATGTCCCCCATAATCTATTCTGCAAGGTGATGGGGTGGGTGTTGCTTTGTTCACTGGTATGCTTAATAGCAAGGAAACTTACATGGGTATATTTGAAGCTTGGGAGATTTCACTTTTGATCTATTTAAAATTTTATTAAATGATTGTTTTTATTATTTCACGTTATATTCCTGATTTTTTTAACTTCATACGATTATACGTTTACATTTTACTATATTCCACTAACTGGAGATTATAAAATGAATTTATTTAAATCCATGGTAGTGTTTCTGCACTTAATGAGGATATTATATTATAGGGCCTGATTTCATGTTAATATCATATATTTTCATTTCTTTACAGTGACATGTCGACCGGCTGTAGTTTTCCATTCATGAACCATTTTGCAGATTTGTTTCAAACTATCATAGAAAAATTGCTTTTATTTTAATAATGTGTCTAATACTAAACTCCAGCACGACATCCATTGTATTTGAGGAATATATATTTTGTTACAAATTTATATTTCTTTGAGTAAAAATATGGACGTTGGTGGTATTTATATATTTATCTTACATGAGATCTATGACTCTATGACGGGTACCCGTTATTTCTTTAAAGCATTTCGTGTGTTGCTCATCGGCAACACGTGTCTTTAAATGGACAATTTTGCTATTTTTGAGTTTCTCGTTTTTGTCTTTCTCGATGACGACTGTCTCCTGAGGATCCACCCGTTCGTCACGTGTTTCGCCTATCACTTTTGATGCAACACATATATTACACTGCCCATATCGTACGGATGTAAATCAATTTGTTAAAGTTTATGCCATTTTTGGAATAAACTAAATGGTTCATAAATAAAAGGTAGATTAGTTATTGGTTTGTTTTGATTTTTGTCTAGGGGTTGTGTTATGCTAGATGAGTCGTACTCGCGATAGGGTTTATAGGGGTTATTGACAGTCCACATTTATAATGTCTCATTTTGATTGATGGGTTTTTGACTTTTTGACATCTTTTTGGTTTTCGGATGCTGGGTGGTTGTTGGTATGGTTTTATTGTAGACAGTGTAAACATTTTCTTTATTTATTATCTTTATCACAAATACAAAATCGGGAATGTATAACAAATAAATTGAGACGGGTATAGCCCAGTGGTATAACTAGCTTCTATCATTTGATATCATATATGTTTCAGGCAATGCAAAAAAACATAAGCATGTGAATTGCTTTCAATGATAGCATAATATATGTATAGTTTATTGCAATATTAGATTTCATTTTGGAATTCCAGCTACAACATAAAACGTTTACAATACATATAAAATGAATAGTAATGATTTTGCCACAAACCCAAATGGTTTTTGATTAATTTATCTCACAAAGTATCGCGATAAAAATATATGAGTCAAAATACAATCCAATCTTGATATATTAATTTGTGTGTTATAGGTAGAGATTCTCAATATTTGTTTCAATCTTGACATCATATGATAGCTGTAGGTTGCAATACTTGGTCCAATCTTGACATCACTGTGGGTATAATAGCTGTAGGTTTCAATACTTGGTCCAATCTTGACATCACTCTGGGTATGATAGCTGTAGGTTTTCAATATTTGGTCCAATCTTGACATCACTCTGGGTATGATAGCTGTAGGTTTCAATACTTGGTCCAATCTTGACATCACTCTGGGTATGATAGCTGTAGGTTTTCAATACTTGGTTCAATCTTGACATCACTCGCTGTGTATGATAGCTGTAGGTTTCAACAGTTGGTCCAATCTTGACATCACTGTGGGTATGATAGCTGTATGTTTCAATACTTGGTCCAATCTTGACATCACTCTGCGTATGATAGCTCTAGATTTTCAATATTTGGTTCAATCTTGACAGCATTCTGCGTATGATAGCTGCAGGGTTTGTGATACTTGAATCAATGTTGACATTATTATGCATGTGATGGCTGGAGTCGTAAACCGATTCATCATTGGCATCAAGTACTCGACTTACTGAGATTGACTGTTCAAGTACATGTGGATGGAGGCGGCATAACTCGAATCACTCAGTCGGACTTTTTAGCCTGGAAACATAATTACAAAAACAAATACACTATAAGCCCTACATCAGAACAACTATACATTTATATTTAAATAATAATTATTTATCTTATAATAATAATGCAATAATTGTATATTAATTATATTATGTTATATTTATATTATAAATTGATTTTGTTTGCATTGTTTGATAAGTAGAAGACATAGTCGTGCTTTGACTGTCTACCTTATTTATTTCAATCCATCATATAAATGACGTCACTTAACTAGTACACTTTATCAAAATGGAAATTGTTGAGTAAGTGCGAACATCGTGACATTGCCGCGCAATGTAGTTGAAGAATTAAATAAAACTAGACACATAATAGTAAAATGACATTTTTCTATTATTTAATAAGGTTATAATAATGTTTTAAGATAATGCTCTATTTTTGATATATTAATGATATTTTCTGAATTTTCACATACAAAGTCAAAACACATGCATAAGCAATTTGGCATTTGCTCTCTCAAGACATTTTGATTAATTTAACCAATGTCCCTTTAATTGCATTCATAGTAATCCCTAGTATACATATTTCTTATAGATGAAATAAAAACAATCTCAGTTTCTTCGGAGAAGTTTAGTTAATCCAGAAGCATCCGGAAGATCAAGTGAAATTATTTTTGCAACCGTTTCCTTTTCTCCTGATAAATTTACTCCTAAGCAACCACCTGTGATAATATATGAATTTAGAGCGAAAATATTGACTCGCGAAATAAGTTTAGTGAATAATACTATTATTGTAGTATTGTACAAGTTGCTGTAAATATTCTTGAAATTGATTTCCCATTCTCTACAAGTTACTTTATTCACAAAACGGTGTCAATGCAACCATGTACAAATTTACTCGCGTACACTAAGAGATAATTCCAACGTTGATTTTTGCTCAAAAATCCACAAATTTTAATCTGATATAAATGCATTGTAAATATTGTATGTTAAATATGAGAAACGTTTCAGGGGTGATGTTGTCATATATGCGCACAACTCTCTTTATATTTAACCACATAATATGTCAATATAATACTGAATCGCAATCAGTAGTTACAAAAACCATTTATTTGTATTCTGTTTTACCTAGAGTTGTAAATACATATTTGTAGATTGTTCTTGTCGTTGATTTCTCCTCAGCGGAGTTTGATCTTAGATACTTAAACTACTATTAATAAAGTTTGAATCTACGGAGCTTGACGAATATTCAAATAGCACGTGGATTTGAATATATGAAGTCATTATTTATATTTCTAGTTATGAATGAGTCTCAATTTATTTGTTTACTCGTATTTATTGTACACTTGACGGCTTACTATAGGAAGAAGATTAAGGTATACAATTATATTGACTATTTCGTGAATTAGTTTGTTTTGTAGTAAACTAGTTATAAATTGGTAATACATTGAAACACCCTCAAGGTATCTATAGTGTCACCTGTACCCCTTGAACATCAAAATGCCAAGTTTATTATCAATTTTATTACTTTTTACTCATACATAAACTTGGAGCTTTGGGAGTCAAGTGTTTACTTCGAGTTTAAAAGATAACGTTCGTGTTTTTGTCACATGAAAGGTCATCAGTATGCGCGTTCGAGTTTTTTATGATTGCTGCAATTCGTCAATGAATTGAGTCATAGATTCATTGACGTCTGTCCCATTTCCTACACTCTTTTGTTGGTCCTATCCTTTATGTCATATCCTTTTAGGTACTTTTTGGGTAATAATTTACAGTAATTGTTTTAGGTAATTATCTTCATAACAATATATAATCCTTTTGAAATCCACTATTTTAAAGACTTTTGAATATTATCTTTACGCTAAGTTGCAGATTGGTTTGAATGATCATAGTTTTGACCAAAGGTGTGGTTTAATGGTGTTGTTCTGATATTGATGTTGGTGTTTTTGTCTCCTTTCACAAATTTAGGCATTTACTGTCATTCTAATCTTTATGGGTTGTTTTGTGTTTCCTGTTTATCTCCGTCAATTAATATACAATGTACACGTTGAATAATTACATATATCATAATTTGAAATTGATTATCATTTCTTGGAAATTTAATTTTTATATGGCGAGAAAGATTCATGACAGGTTTGGTCGGCTGGTGGTCTTACATACATGCCGGTCACGTGTTCTTCCTGCGTAAAAAATGCGCTCGTTGCCTAAATGTTGACGTTGTCTCTAAAATAACTGTTAAGTTACCAGATTATTCTGGATATTGACATGAATTCGAACGTGTTATAAATTTCACTATCGTTATTTTACTTTTATGCTACCCATTTCCCCCTTATGCAGTTTGTTAATATGCTCGTCTTTGTATTTTTTACCAGGTTCTACCATCATTTTTATAGAATACACAAGATTTATCATTCAAGCTGAAATCTAATGTGTGTCTTTGTAACTGTTATAAAGCATACATCATTTGATCGGAACGTGTAAAGTATGATATATGTGCCTGTGTTCCTATAAAAATAAAGATTTCTCATTAAATAATATAAAATGGCGACACATAATATTAAAATATCCTATAATGTCGGACAACGTGGCAGCTTTGATTCTAGCGGGTCGATATGCAAACTCGTTGCTTTGTCTTTTTATTTTACTAAAATGTACTTTTACGGAAATAAAAACACATTATTTATTCACTGGTACATCACTGGCACACTGATTGAATTATATGGGCACAATACAAATAAGGGTAAACAATGAAATTGATAGTTTTCGCAGAAGATCTATCAATTTACTATTATTTGTTTTCATTGAGGGATAAAATAATGTCAATTTTGATCGTATAAGGCTAATACCATTTGGGTGCTTCTTTCCAATCTATAAAATGCTCTCTAAAAATGTTGACTTTAACACTCAATAAAAATAATTCAAACAGCTTGACTAAAATTATCCGCTTTTGAGGGGCAAAAACAAATATAGAACTTTTTCATTTAGCAGGGAACATAACTTAATAATTATCAATAGAAAAACTGTAAATTTTTCTCAAGATCTGATTAGATCGAGATTAGTTTCTTTCGACTTGTATTAATTAAGTTTTATTTTCTCTGACAATATTGCTATAGGATAATTCCAAATAGATTCTACCGATTCGAAATTTTATATTATCAAACAGAAATCAAATAGGAAAGTTATAGAATAAGGTATCGACATATCCTGTCAAGAAGCTGTAATGGTTTATATTTCTTTATAAAACCCGTTGCTGTTCAGGTATAATTGTGTATGAATGTTTAAATGCATATATGACATCTCAATTGCATTGGATTTTGTCTGGAAACGACGCTGTACTATTTAAAAGTATTGTGTCTAAATGTTCACATATGAATGATCCTTTGTAATGTATTTTGTTAGAAAAAATCTAAAAACATAATTTCATAATTTATTGCAATATTTGTACATTTGTAGAAAACCCTCCAAATCTGATTTTAATTAAACACAAAGAATGAGATCTAAAGGTCGAATATAACATTTAACATTTTCTCTAAAAGTATAAATTAATGCATAAAAATGACGAACGTCACGTTCGGGGACTCATGCGATACTTTCGTACCCGCATCTATCCTGACACTAGCTTAGTACTTTAATACTTTATGCATGCTAAACGCAGTAAATGTCACTGTTTTACATTTTTTACATAAACATATAAATTGATTGTCTGTCGTTATTAAGGACGAATGCCTGGGTATTACTAAATATAGCAACCAAGGACCAAGGTAAGGGGTTCGTTGCTCGGGAAGTGTTATGTATGTGGACTTTAAAGAATACCGTAACCAGAAAATTCTCTGATACAACATTTCTATGCCAAGTCACGATCCTGTAGAAAGCTTTTCAGTCCACGATACAATGACATACACACACACAACGACCCTGATTTTCCCAGGAAGCTACAATACAACAGAATATCTAAAAGTGGGAATTTACAATCGTCCACAGAAAACGGTTTCCCAGCTAAACCACAATAAATTATAAACAATATCCAGCACAAAAACAGGAATAATTTAATATCTCATTGATCAATTTTAGGATTCACTAAAATGAAATTTAATACAAATCTTTAAAACTGAAAGTGAGAATCCTGTAATGTCATTTAAAGAGGGTAAGTATTAAGTACACACCTCAAATTTCAAGATTTCCCGCCATGGTGTCGTTTTCCAGTCCTTATTCACAGTCCTTCTTTTGCAAGTTAGTTCATAATCTCATCTGAAAGAATAAAATATCAAATTGCAATACTCATATTTTTCTTAGATCAATCAGAAATACATATAATACTGATTTTTACAAACGTATTTATTCACTGCTACAGTATGCATACCATGCAGTTTCTAGTCATTTTGGTATTATGTCGCCATAATAATCATTGATATGCAGAAAACATACAATATACATTGTATTACACCATTTTTAGATTTGTACAAACACATGATTTCAGATATGATAATTTAGACTTTATATACTTATATTGTACTTAAGTTATACTAATAAATGCAGACCCGTCAAAAACCTGCGAAGTAGCTCGGTTTGAAGATTATATGATAGAAATTAGGAACACATTTTAATACAGAACCCTGTTTCCCATGAATGTGAATCGACAATTATGAAGTAGAATTTTCTCCATATTATGATATACAATGGAGTTCTTGAGCATTGTATAATTGCCATCAAATCAAATATTCTCTACTGACCACTTGTATGAAATTATGCAATAGCGTTGAGTGAAGTTTGACTCGGGTCCCGCAATAACAAGATGCAATTTCTGAAGATCTCCTACTCTTTCGACGATTATTTTGAGGTTATATATTCTAATGAGGGGAATGCGCATGGACTCTACAAGAGGGACAAAGATATCGTCATGACCGATACACTGTATACAGATAAAGAATAAAATCCAGTGTATCGCAGACCATATGAGTAGAAGGAGTATATACTTGCATACAAGGCATAGAGTACCTATACAATATGCGCGCCTCTACCTTACCCGATCGAAC